CTATGGGCCTGGCTTTGAGTCCTGGCTCTGCCACTCACTGACTGGGGCCCAGTGCTTATACCTCTGTAACGTGGTGGTGGTGAGGTGGTGATATGAGTACTTGCCTCCCAGAAGTATCACTATGAGTATTAAGAAGGTCACCATAGCCATGGCTGAGTCTGCACACATGCACGCACGCACGGGCACACACACACATGAATTGTCATAAGATTTTCCCGAACAGTTCCCATCTCAGGGCTTGAGTCCTCTGGTCACAAAAACGAAGTAAATAAGCAATCCGGAGGCAGAGAAATGAATGGATAGTTAGGTGGATAGCAAGGCAATGGAGAGAGATGGATGTTTGAGTGAGTGGTTATTACACAGTTGGGTGGATGGCCAGGAAGAGTTGGATGCCTAAAGCAATGGACAGATGAGTGAATAGACAGCTGAGGAGCTAGATAAAGAATCAAAGTGACAAAATGAAATCCAGTTGAAGGAATTCAGAGGGCAAACTAGTAAATGAATGATTAGACTAATTCCATGGTCTGATGTTGGAGCTGAAGGGAAGATGTTTGTCTGGCCTCTCCATTTCACTGAAGGGGAACGAGGACTGCATCTCTGCCCCTGCTCTCTCTCCTCTGTCAGAATGCAGGGGTGATGGGGAGCAGGGCAAAGCTCAAGCAGAGTCTCTTACCTCTGTGCCTCACTGTCTGTCTCCTGGTAGTGCAGATGCAGGGCGTTCAGTGCCTCTGCAGGGAGAAGAACCAGAGAGCCCATGAGAGCTTATCAAGGGCACTGAGTCTGGGTAGAAATCATGGGTCAGATTATGTCAGGTTTTGTAGGCAATGGACTGTATGTTATCATTTTCTATGAGTTTGGTGGAGGCCACGGGAGGGATGTAGGCCAGTTGCAGGTGAAGAGGGATCCCACTGCTATGGTGGGAGTGGGTTTCTGTGGGGGTGGCAAAGGCGACCGTGGGGAGACCAAGCAGCCGCAAATACCTTTCCTTTCGTTCAAGAACTCCTTCAGGTGCACCTTCTCTTCGTTCACTGGAAAACATTAACACACTCAGGCATCAGGGGTAGGGTTTGCCTACGGTCACCCAGGAGGTTTGCTGCAGCCCTGCCCACAACCCCTCATGTGGACCCCTTAAGGCCAGCCCCTCCCCCTTGTGCCCACCTTCCCTGTAAGCACCAAAGGGCCCTGACATTTACTGATGGTTGTGTGAGGTCCCTGTGGACAGCACATGGAGGAAACTGATACATCACAAGAGATGGGGAAAAGGGCTGTGAAGGAAATGTCCACCAGTGTGAGGGCATATGACTGGAGTGGAGGCAGCAGGATGCTGTCTTCAGATGGAACCACCAGGTAATGCCTCTCTGAGAAGGGAAATCAGACTTAGGTGGTGATATGAGACAGCAGGAAGCATTCTGGAGTCTCCAGGGGGCAGAGTGTTCCACATGCTGAGCAAACAGCAAAGGCCAGAGGGAGACACTGCTTGAAAGGTATCTCAGGAACATGCTCACCAGCGGAGTGGGAGATTGAAGGCATTGTCAAAGGGGACAGGGGACTCCGCTGGGTATCTGGAAGATTGGGTTCAGGGCCTAGAAAACATTGTGGGAAGCCCTGGGTGTCCCCCAGCACACTTACTGGAGTCCAGTTCCTTCTGCAGAGTCTCCCAGAGGGTCCGGGCCTCTCCCAGCTCCTCACTGGCTTTCTTTTTGGCTGGGACAAAGATAGGACAGACATCATGTGAGTGCAGCCACCAGTATCACTCTCCCTTGCAAACCTAGAGGGGCCCAGACTCTGTAGAAGAGGACAGAGCCATTCAGGGCCCAGGCCATTCTTGCTGTGATTGGCTGGCAGGACAGTGGGCATAAAGAATACGTGACCAGGTCTCACAGGTCTCCTTGCTTGGTTTAATATTCTGCTTTCAATCTTGAAATTCTTAATGATTTTTTTTTTCTTAATGATTTTTTTTAATAAAAGGCCTACATTTTCATTTTTTACTGGGTCCTGCAAATCATGTAGTTGTCACCTTTTGGTTGTCAAAGGTGAGGGTCTCAAGCTCACCTTCTTGAACTTCATTAATACGGTTAATCAGGACCTCAACCCGAGGTTCCAGGCTTCCTGCTAAAGAGAAAAAATTGACTGAACTGCAGGTGACACGAGTGGCTCCAGAGCAGGTAGAGGTGGGGTAGGCACCAGCTGTCTGTCTACTGCCTTCACTGAATATGAATATCACCAACTGCTACTGCTGGCAGATACTGTGTTGGGCCCTCAAGGGGTTTACATTCTGGATGGGGGAGACAGGGAACAGTCAGTCAGGGACACTGAGTCAGACAGTGGTGCTAAGTGCCATCCAGAGAAATAAAGTAGGGCAAGGTGTCAAAGAGCGAAGGAACAGGAAGTGCTTCTTTAGCTATGAGAAGGCCTTCTGAAGGCACCGAATCAAGTGAGAATAGGTCCTGCATCTGTGTGTGGTGGAGGACTGGTAAGTGTGAATGTGGCTGAAAGGAGTCCAGTGAGCAACGGAGTAGGTAAGGTGGAGGGAAATGGGGCAGAGGTTGCAAATGAGAAAACTTCTGGATTTAATTCTGAGTCCAGTGGGAGCCAAATGGGTAGCCAGAAAGGGGCTAGGACAGGATTTTAGGGAATGTTTTTGCCTTCTGTGCCTTTATAATTTTGAACCATGAGGCCATACTGTTAAAAAATTAAATTTTAAAAGAAAGTGAATGGGATTGTTTTCCAAGTTGAGAATAGTCTGGGAATTGAACTTATGTCTGCCTGATCCCAAACCCCAAGCTGACCCTCATACACAGAGGAGACACGTGACCTTTCTGCAGCTTTTTCACCATTTCCAGCAAGTCTTCAATTTTCTTGGAGGACTCGGCCTCCCCTGTGGAAACAAAATAAAAACTCTCAGAACCAGCAAGTGTGAAAGGCTGAGGATGGGCTGGACAGCCTTGGCTGGGGGTGAAGCAAGCTGAGAGAGGTCTCCACCAGAGTGCTGTTCACCCCTTCCTTGTCCTGAGCTGAGCAGGTCACAAGAAATGAACTGGGGTCTTTTACTGGGTATCTTTTCTCTAAAGAGTAAAAAGATACCATACCACAGATATACACCCCCTTAATAAAACTGAATGTCAGGAGAAGGGCACACGCTCACTACTGATGCTGTTAAAGGTTAATAGCAAAGTTTGCCAATGAGATACTACAAGGGGAACAAAGGAATTCTATAAAAACACAGTATCACCCATTAAGGATTCCTGACAAAAATGAAACTTATATTTCAGCCTCTAGTTCTAAATGCCAATTCAGAGAAAATACCAGGACAGAGGAACATGTTAAATGACACATGAGGATGCAAATCAGCAACCTGTAGATAAGGGAAATTCCAAGTGGCAAACAACCCAATTTATTTAACAACTAAATTTCAAGGGAGAAAAAGAGAGAAAGGAAGACCTTTACAGATTAAAAGGGGCTTAAGACACATATCAACCAATTGCACTAAATGGACCACATTCGGATCCTGATTCAAAAATAATGCACTATTAAAAAATATGAATTTTATGAAATTTATATGAAGAATATAAAAGGGAATTTGAAAAATGACTACATATCTGCATATCTGATGAAATAAAGGAATTACTGTTGCTATTATTTAGATGTGATAATGAATATTAGAGTTTTTTAAAGAGTATATGAAATGTATCTTTCTTTAAAAATTAAAGCTACTCTCATAATGCCAAGGGAAAGTGTTTGTAGCTGTTTTCTTTCTAATTTGTATTATCAATAGTTTTAAACACAATTAAAAGTAGAAATGACACTGTGATAAACCCAATGAAATCATTACCTACATTTCTGCCATAATTGTGTCAGAGCTCTGGTGACTCAGTGCCTAAGGGCATTTGACTGTTAACCTTCCCAGGTCACACAATTCCTGCACTTCCGTGGCCCTGCCGCACGTCTCCCTTTTCCTGGCGGCCAGCAGCCAGGGGCCAGGCCCCAGGTAGGCCGTCTGAGCAACAGGGAAGTGTGGCCGTGGACTGGCTGTGTGTGAGACCGTGCCGTCCGAGGGAAACGGCCTCCTTGTTCGTAGAGATGCCCACGGAAAGCCTCACTAACCCGCTTCAGTACCTCGGCAGCATCGCGAGGGAGCCAATACGGTGCAGGCCACCTGAGTCAAATGCAGGTGCCGGGAGTGTGGATAAACCTTCCCTTTTGTAAAAACGAGCGCTGGAGGTGCTGTGCCTAAGGCATCTGACTGCTGACCGCAAGGTTGGCGGTTCAAAACCACCAGCCACTCCCCATAAGGAACGCTGGGCAGTCTACTTTCCTAAACATTTCCCGCCTCGGGGGTCACTGTGAGCTGGAATCTCGTTGATGGCAGTGGGTTTGTGTTTTTGGGTTTTCCTCTCTGTATAAGAGTCAACGTTTTTAGAATAAAAAGGCGAAACCGTCGTTGTCAGTCCCTTTCGTCCCAAAGAGGCAGCGAGCCTTCCCCTGCTTGGCGCACCAGCCTGGCAGGGACGCACTCAGATGCCGCGCCCCAAGTGCCTGCAGCCCCGCTCCCGAGGAGGCCTCCCACCACTACCTCCGCCCTCGTCAGATCCTTCCGTGGCTCCCACAGCCTCCATATTCGGTGGCTGCGACCTTCCCGCCATTTCCTCTCAGATCCAGGCCGGCGCCTTCTGCGCTTCTGCTGATGATAGGGGTGGGGCGCTCTGCAGCGCGCCTGCGCAGTGTTCTCCGGCGCACAGTAATCTCGAGCAGGGATTGGGAGGGGGCGCGGAAGGGGCGGTAACGGTTCTTGGCCTGCGCTAGCTTAGGAAGTCAGGTGGCGCGCCGGGCAGCTCATACGCATGCGTAATGGCTGAAGGCCTGCAAATGAAGTTTCGAGGAGGCCAGGGCAGTGTGCATGCAGCCTGCTAGGCTCGTTATTGGTCAGTTGAGAAGCCAGTGTCCTGCACATGTGTAAGGCCTCCTTAGGGCGTGCAGTCTTTTTGCCTCACTGGCGGTAGGCAGACGTTGAATTCTGCTGTACAGGGGGCCTGCGGAGTCCAGTTGGCCCATATTCCTCACTGAACACCTGATGCAAGGTGTACTCATTTCACCAAATTCTCTGAGGCAGGAACTCGAAACCTCAGCTATCCCTTAGTAGAGACCTGCAGAGGCAGAGACAGAGACTTGAAGAAGGGAACAGACAAGGACAGATCTACAGAGACAAATTCCGTAAACAGACATTTGGAAAGGGCAGCCAATGGCGGTGAGCGG